AGCAAGCCGGCAATGACGCCGACGTTGGATCCGAGATCTTTGTAAAACCCGATTTTGTTGAGTGTGGTTTGGTCGCATTTGAGTGTGGATTTGATGTCTTTGGAGTAAGAAGCGAATAAATAGACTCCGCCGGCGCCGGACATTATGAGGAAGGAAGCGAAAAGGGAAAACCACCGCCCCATTACCACTTGTTGAATGAAACAGGACAGCTCTGCCCTGCAGATTCCGCCATTGATGGAGCTTGGTGGTGGTGATACAATCATTTTTCAAGAAGATTAGTGGAGAATGAATTAGAGATGTGTTGAATCAATTGTGTTTTGTTTGATGTTCATGTTTGATTCATATATATATATATATATATATATATATATATATATATATATACATGACAGAATAACTAAGTTATGAAGTGATGATCACTAATGTGGTTTGTAGAGGCTAATTTTAGAAGAAAAAGATGAACACAAATGGGGTTGCGGGGAAGCAAATAGAAAGCCCAACGAAGAACCAAACCAACAAAACAAAGTAGTTGGTATTGTTAGAGGGTAGCTATCAATATCATATAATTTATTGCAAATATTAAATCCCCCATCACCAATTTTGTAAAAAAATTTAAGGGTATTAATGAAGCTATTGAAAACTAAACGGTCATAGAGCAATATCAAGTCTACCGGTGTAGTATTGCAAATGATTCAAAATGTACTATAGGAGGCATGGTGTTAGCTCTCCACCACTTTTGAGCCATGTAGTTTAAGCGAGCTTACCTTGTAATACATGTGTGTGTTACAGGCGAGCGTGCTGAAACGAGTGTCTCATGCGACTTCCTTTGAAATGGGTTTTTCAAGAACAGTACTAGGCGACATGGGTGTGTCAATATTGTGCCCCAGCTTGCGTGTCGGAGGGTGATATCCGGTACGGTATCCGTACATGATATGACATGGGCATAGGAAGACAAATGCCTCAACAGAATTCAAATGGATGGAAATTCGGGATGTCCCGATGAAATGAACGATACATGAGTTCGTTCTCGATGGCATGACCCAGTGAGTTGTGATGACCGACGACACCCCAAGACTTGGGATGACGTCAAGACATATACATGTTGTAACGACCTAGGCCCACCGCCAGCCGACATTGTCATCTTTGGGCTTTCCTTCAGCGTTCTCGCTGGCACTCTTTCCTTCCTCCAATCAATGTGGGATCGCCCCCAAATCCACTCCTTTTGAGGCCCAGCGTCTTTACTGGCACACCGCCTCGTGTCTACCCCCTTCAGGGAACAGCGAGAAAAGGCTGGCACATCGTTCGATGTCTGGCTCTGATACCATTTGTAACGGCCCAGACCCACCACTAGTAGATATTGTCCTCTTTAGAATTTCTCTTTCGAGCTTTTCCTCAAGGCTTTAAAACGCGTTTGCTAGGGAAAGGTTCCCACACCCTTATAAATTGTGGTTTGTTCTCCTCTCCAACCAATGTGGGACATCACACCTGTCAATTGGAAACTAAGATAACAAGATAGATACGATATTACATTGAAGACCTTAACCCCAAGTAGAGCCAAGATCGAGTCAAATGACTTGGCTTAGCGTAGAAGCAAGTCAGTTTAAATGACTTGGCTTAATGTAAAAGCATACACACGCAGGTGCAGTGTATGATTAAACAAACTTTGATTGTTCAAAAACCGTCTTAACTATTTCTTTATAAAGCCCTGCAACGAGATAGGTAGAACGGAGAGATGGAAATTGGTAGGAACTATGTTAATTTCATCTCTGTTCTTGTATCACTTCTATTATGGGGTTGTTGGGGGAGCAATCTTGAAGATTTTCTTCACTGTATTTCTTCCAATTTCTCAAATTCAACCCTCCTTTACACTCAATCTTCATCCTCCTACTCCTCTGTTCTAAATTTCACCATTCGAAACCTCAGATTCTCAGGGCCCAATGTCCCTAAGCCAATCGCCATAATCAAACCATCGCAACCTTCCCAAGTCCAAGCAGCCGTCATGTGCTGCAACAATCACGACCTCCGCATCCGAGTCCGCAGCGGCGGCCATGACATCGAGGGTCTTTCTTACGTTGCCAATGTCACATTCGTGGTGATTGATTTGGTCAATCTTAATTCAGTGACGGTGGACATTGAAAACAACACTGCGTGGGTTCAATCTGGGGCGACCCAAGGTGAGGTGTATTACAAACTTGGCCTAAAAAGCTCTGCTTTTGGTTTCCCTGGCGGAGTGCAGCCGACTGTGGGTATTGGTGGGTTCCTCAGCGGCGGTGGGTATGGGATGATGGTTAGAAGATATGGGCTCGGTGCGGACAATGTGGTGGATGCTCTACTTGTGGACGCTAATGGGAGGCTTCTTGATAGAGATTCTATGGGGGAGGATTTGTTTTGGGCCATTAGAGGCGGCGGCGGTGGCAGCTTTGGGATTGTTTTGGCATGGAAGTTGGAAGTTGGTTCCTACTGTTACGTCCTTTGCGGCTTATAGAAGTTTGGACCAAAACGCTACCGACTTGGTTCATCGGTGGCAGTTCGTTGCTCCGGTGATTGATGAAAGATTGTTCATTGGCGTCATAATTTCAGGTTTGATTCTAAGACTTCTCTTTGTTGGTAATCACGACTCTCTACAATGAATAATATCAATGGAGATGTATTGCTTAGTTATAAGTCAATGATTAACCTCTTAATTAGTAGAGGAGGGACTCCTCTCTCGAGCCTATGAATCCCTTGAACAAAGTACACCATTTGTTTGACACTTGAGTCACTTTTGACTACACCTTCGAAGCTTAAAAACCCATGATCAACCCCTTATTTAGTAGATGTAGGACTCTTCTCCAGGACCTATGGAGCCCTCGAACAAAGTATACTACACCATTTGTTCAACACTTGAGTCACTTTTGACTACACATTCGAGACTTATAAACCCATGATCATCCCCTTAATTAATAGATGTGGGACTCCTCTCCTGGGCCTATGGATCCCTCGAACAAAATAGTACACCCTTTGTTCGACACTTGAGGATTCTACTGAGATGGCTAAGCTAAGGGCATGACTCTGATACCTTATTAGGAACCACGACTCTCAATAATCGTATGATGTTGTCTATTTTGAGCACGAGGCCTCGTACCAATGGAGATATATTTCTTACTTATAAACTCATGATCATTCCATTAATTAGCTAACGTGGGATTCCCTCCCAACAATCCTCAACACTCTTTCCACGCCCTGCCCTGCCCCATGAACGTCTCTACCTGGTTTGAAAGATCGGAGATTTAAATAGAAAAATGCAAATTCTTTTCACAGCTGCAAATTCAATGGAAGGAGGAGGGGGAAGAACAAAGGGAGCATTTTTCTACTCACTATTTCTAGGAAAGGCAGAGGAGCTTATACCCATCATGGAGAAGAGCTTCCCAGAGCTGGGACTGAAAAAAGAAGACTGTTTGGAAACCAATTGGGTTGAATCAACGGCATATCCCGCAAGTGGGTTTGTGACAGCAAACGATTTGAATGTCTTACTTGACAGAGCCCCACTCAGCAGCGGCCGATACAAAACCAAATCAGATTACATCACAGAGCCCATCTCAGAAGCCGCCCTCGACGGCATATGGGAAAGGTTGGACGGCGATGGCATAGAGACAGTGCAGCTGGTGCTGATCCCTTACGGAGGGAAAATGAATGAGATAGCTGAAACAGAGCTCCCTTCGCCGCATCGAGCAGGGTATCCCATCAAAATTGGCTACTATGTTACATGGGAATCCGGTGAAGCTGACATGAGGCACTTGGAATGGAGCCGAGAGGTGTATGAGTACATGGCTCCTTTCGTGTCCAAATCGCCCAGAGCTGCGTATGTCAATTACAGAGACCTTGACATTGGGACAAACAACGAGGACAGGACCCCGACGAGCTTCGAGGAAGCAAGTGTTTGGGGATTGAAGTATTTTGGGGTTAATTTTGAGAGGTTGGTGCGAGTGAAAACAATGGTGGATCCCTGTAACTTATTCCGCCATCAACAGAGCATACCGCTCATGGCTCAACCAAAGATTAATGGTTAATGACAATTATCTCTAAATCGAAAATAAACCACAATAGTATGATAGCCCATTTGTGTGGAGAGTGTATTCATCTATTGGCACGACTAAGTTTAGGGGAGCACTCTCCACAATAGTATGATATTGTCCACTTTGAATATAATCTCTCACGGCTTTGCTTTAGACTTCACAAAAGGCCTAATTCCAATGGAGAGTGTATTCTTTGCTTATAAACCCATGACCATTCTCTAAATTAACCAATGTGGGACACTTTCAAGGGGTAACACAATTAAGATAATTATATTCCATAAGTTTCTAATTTATTACCAATTTTTGTTAAATTATATATTTAATGCAATTTAAATTATAAGTTAGGCTAGAAATACAAAAGGTTGACTTAATTTTACATTGATGAATGAATTTATTATTTTAATTACATTTAATTACAAAATGATCAAAAGTGTTGGTAATTCTTCATTTCCTCTTAAATTCATTTTCTCTAATATTTATTAAATTATTTAAAATTAGATTTCAAACTCTAACCTCGTAATTACTCTAAATTACTAGTTTTGGTTGAATTATATTCATATAGAAAGTTGATGTAACTTTTGAAATTTTTAAAAAGAATTATATAAAACAAAAATTCAACTATTAAATGAAAATCAGAAGTATTTAGAATTTAAAAGTAAACGATCAAAAGCCTTTAAAATCTTAATGGTAACGTCTTAACTTCCAATCACAATAAATGACAGAAGGATGATTCAAGGAAGCAAGAACATGTGGATGTTAGAATGACAACAGAGGTTAAACCATTAATGTTACTTTTTATCTTGTATATATCTAATTAAATAATATTGTAAAAAAGAAAATGTAATTTTATGAGTTCAAATTAAAGAAATTTTTATAATTTTTGGTGACATGCTTTGTAAAAATTAAAAGATGTAACAGAGTAAAATAGATCCAAAAAGGAACCTCTTTTGTTGGGATAGTAAGATAATAGATTAAGAAGCCATCCCAAAAGCACCACACCATGCGGTGAGGCACATAACATTCTGCACAATTAGCTAGTCAAGGTGTGGAGCAACGTCTACAAAAATATGGATTGAACCATAAATGTAAGAGTTTCTATGACACTACTCTTTGAAACCAAAATTTCCTACAACTTCTCTTTCCTCACAAAAAAAAAATGACAACCTTTTCCAACGATCTCAGGCAGATTTTAACTTGGCTGATGTTGAGGCAAGGTGGGAAAGGGTCCTGTGTCCCACAAATACCAAGAAAACTCCCAAGATGCCCAGTGCTTTCAGTGTTGTGAACAGATCCAACTGTGTAAAGAGAGTGAGAATTTAGTAAGCATGTTGACATAAAATGGCTCCAAACCTCAGAGTTTACAGAAAACCAGTAATATGGCACCTACCTTCAACCAAAAGAAAGTGTAAAGCAAGATAACTGCTCCAATGCTTAGATGGAAGAGAATGGCGAAGGTGGCAGGTAAGGTCGAAGTCGGGAAGTTCTTTAGGTTCACGCCCAATCGGAATAGCTATCAACAGATAAACAAGGGTGAATTTGATATGTTATAATGGTGGAAAATTGCATAGCATATACTAGAAATCATGGATATGTTGACGTAAATATCAATGTGGATATCCCAGAAAAGTCCCATGAATAGAAAAAGAAGTGTACTTTCTGGACCAAAGTGCTCGTTGATTATAGATAAGAGAACTCACCCCAATCAAAAATCCAAGGGATGGCAAAAATGTGAGACCCAAGAAAGCAAGAGAGAGCTCCTTGGCTGGGCGCTTTTCTGGAGCCCTGAAGATGTGAGTTATTTCAGCTTTGGGTCCATAGCGTGTGTAAGGATCGACAGGCCGTAGAGGAGGACGAGGTGCCTTCTCTGGTGCTTCAGGTAGATCCAAGTCAACATGACCAATAGCCTTTATGAAGGAATTCTCCTGAAGAAAGGAAAAACCAGACTCTACTTAAGTTTCCAGAGTAATTTGTACAGGTGAAATTAATAAAGAAACTGAAATTACCATGAGGGCATCGCCAACAGTTAACTGAATGTCATATCGACCCGACAGATAGAAAAACTTCTCAACCAAACCAAGAAAGTCCTACAGAAGAAAAAAAAAATTCTGAAATGAGCAAACTCATAAATTTTCTTAACTTAATGTTATTCAAATGCACAACGATTGAACAAATTCATTAAGAAGAGCTCGAATATTCCCAAGAATGTTCCCAAGAATGTTCTAGATGCACCAGATGTGCTCTACTTTTATGCAATCACTAATGCGGAACAAGTAGATGAGATCCAAAAGGAAACCTCTCATGTACAACATATTCTGATACACATGTATACAGCTCTATCAGCAAGACGTTTCGTGAAAATAGGAAGAAAGGATTAGACAAACTTACAAGAATTTTTTCAAATTTTTTGCCAGAGCCTTCAACCACAAAGATATGTTCAACACCACTTTCATGCCTCAACTTGAGAAAAGCCTGCAACCAAGCAAACTTGTCAAAACAGTAAGAAAACAAGGATGGAAGGATGAGAGACAATTACATACCTGATGCGGCTTAAAACCATTTCCCTGTGGTGTGGCTAGTTGAAATGATAGACGCAATTTCTGAAGGTGGTTTGCTGACAATGAAACAACACTCCCACCAACTAAATCAAGCCTGGATGAAACCAAGATGACAAAGTAGCTCTGCTTAATATCACAATTAAAAGCATAAATGACAACCAAAAGCGATCAAATGACTCTGTTCTGTAATAATAAACCACCAGTTTGAAAACAAAAGCAAGAAAAAGTAATAATAACAGTGTTTACTTCTTCTTGGTTTCAGTACTCCCAAGATCGCTATCAAGAACAGCAATCTCTGCCTTCTCAATTTTGACAACTCCTGTGATATATATTGGCTCTTGGATCTGCCCACCAGTGGCGTAAGTATCCTTCTGCTCTGAATCATGAAGAACAATCTAGAAAAGGGGAAAAGATTGTTTCAACATATACTTGGACAAATTCTAGAAAGATGTGCCAAGTGAAGTTATATAAAAAAGAGTGTGAAGTACCTCAAAGACGAACACATAGTTTCCAACATCATAGGCATTGGGCAAAACATCCAAGACATGTAATCCGGTCTGAGGATCAAACTTGAGTTCCTATGTTTCCACAAAAAAAAAATGATACACAGTAACAAACCAAGTCACGCTAATTAATCATTAAACAAACACTGGGAATAAATGGTAAGCATTCAGTTGATAAAACTATCAGACCTGGCCCTTGATAATGGAAGTGCCTTTTGAAGCAGAGAGAAAAGCTCTTACTATCTTCACGGTTAATTGAGGTGCAACTGAACCAAGCACAGTATTCACTCTAACCTGATAACATTTGACATAAATTATAAAACTACCAAACAATAACTTCCAATAAAAGGCTCTTTGATGGGCTAAATAAAGGGAAGAAAAAACAATCGCTTGTGCACATGGAGAGCCAATTAACAAAGTGAATTTTTAATATGTAAAGGATGTTTAAGAACTTCAGCTAAACCAACATAAGCTATCTCTGACGGGCAGAAAATTCAAACTTAAAGACATGCAAGAACGTACAACATCAACCAGAAGACAACCTATGTGTGTCTCATCCAAGGGCGTCCAGTGACAATTATAGAGACAGAGAAAGTTTACGCTTTAGCTAAACTTTTAGCTTCTACCTGGTGCATCCTCTCTTACATCGTAATTCCTCTTTAATTACAGCTCATTTTCATTAACACCAATTGGATCAGTTCTCTTTTTTTAATATACATAAAGCTACTTGGGTTCTAGTTTTCCATAACAGAAAAAAAAAATGACAAACCACATAACGTAACTGAAACCGAAAGAATTATGTAAAATGGAAAATATATAAAACTATGTTTCGATTAGGTCTTCCTTTTCTCCATTAAGTAATCTTTATTTGTTTGCCGATTATTTTGCATATAATCAAGTTCCACTTGGAAAGTCACAAGTAAAAGAAACCAGTAGCACAGACAGCACTAACAATGCATGCAAGTCCTTTGATGCTGGACTCATTATGCTGAATTTGATACCATTACTGTACTTGTAATTTTGAAATCACTACATTTCAAATGCTAAGAACATAGGCTAGTTCTAAACCAGATTCTGCATCATGCTCATAATTAAGAAACAAATTAGATGCCCCAGATTCCATAAAAACCATTCGTGAGCAAACAAGTAACCAGGAAAATAACTGCTAGGAGATGCTCTGGTAAAGAAAAAAGTTTGGTAGAAGAACGAACCTTTAGTTGGTCTTCCTTTGTTAGTGAAAGAACAGTAGCTGGAAGAGATAAAATCAACGGAATAGAAACCCTGTGGTAGGAAGAAGGAATTGAAACGAGAAAACCAATGCCATAGTAGTATAAGAAACCAAATGTTCATCATGCAAAGGAGTACTGCAAGTGGTGAAACAAGAAACCCAACCCCATTGTATAAATTCATATATCCAACAGTTAAGCTCAAAACAAGATGAATTCTCAAGGAAGCTCATGAGAGGATCTTCCATAAAAAGAATTAAGCCTTAAATGAAAATAATGTTATAGGAACTACAAGACCACAGTTTTCCCCTTCTACGTTGTAACAAATATTCAAAATGGCACACCACTTAAAAAGGATAGACAGAAAAGAATAGCCAACAACTATTGAACTTTATCACTGAGTAATCTAATAGTTTCTGTCAATCCCACATATTATTTAATCTTCCAACTGATATTAAGAGAATCATATTTTTTCCATTGCTTTCTTTGGAGACAATAAAAAGAGAAAAAAAATCAGTCGGATGAACTCCATTTTTATGCAAGAAACAAAACTTCATAAATGGGGGGAAAAAACACTACAGATCACAAAATAAAAGAGGAGGTAGACTTAGGCCGAGGAGACCACAAAAATGCACTACAATCAACATCAACAAAAATAATTAAAACAGAGAGCAATAGAAGAACTACTTCAATAATCTAATCAATGTGGAAGCTTAGAATAAAATATACCCCAAGATAAGAAGAATTTCTCTCAACGCCCTTAAAAGTTGACTTCTTTCCAACCACACATTTCACACAAACGCCTTAACTGCATTCCACTTCCCCAAAAGTACAGACTAGCCAATTAGGAGGACAATCTAGCCATTTAAAATTTCTTGAAATAAATCTTTTATTTTTTATTTTTTCTGGATAGTAACAAAATTATATATATATATGAGAAGATAAGACATTCCAAGGTCTCAAGCAATAAGAGAGGCTCTTGGTTTCTATTTTCTATCTATAATAGAGGAAGAATAAGTACAAGAAAATCTGAGGATCAAATTAGAGGCAAGGAGCACTAAACAAAATTCTGAACAGTCTTGAAAAGTTGTACCTTACTTGAAAAACCTATCCATTTCTACACAACCAAATCCCCAAGCCTAGCCAACTAAAGGTTACACCATTCCCAATAGTGCAATTGACCCTTACAACAACAAAGTGACTCAAGCAATGCAAAAATTATTTAAAAGAATGTTACACATAGAACTCCAAGTATTAAGTTGATAACAAAGGATTATCATCATAATGTAAAATCTAAAGATCAACCAAATCTAACCCTAACTAACAATAAAATACTTACCTATTTGTCTCCAAGCAAGCCAAGGAGTCTATTTGGTTAAACAAGTCATTAGCATCACCAGGAATCCCAATGCCAAGGAAGAATTTTGCCAGACCAAAAATTGAATTCCCAGGAAGCTATAGATGAAAATAAAATTGTTACAAAATAAATTAAGGAAACAAAATGCAAATTTATGTTTCCACTCACATTTAAGCTTCCAGAAGTAACAGCAGTAAATGTTGTCAACCCTCGAACAACTGAGGATGTAGTTGCAAGAGGCCCATGATGTTCATTTGCATCAACAACTTTTTCCTCAAAATATAAAGCTCCATTATCTGCAGAACAATGACGTCTACAAATTACCTATATGGACTGGTTAGTGAAGAATAAAACAGTGCAAATATGAAGAATGGAGTGAGAAGTTCCCAATTTGGAAGATCATCTATCTACAAATTTGCAGTAGAAATCGAGACAGGAAAGAGAATGTTATCGGGATCTTAGACAATTGAAATTTAAAGGAAATAATACCTGACATTATTGTCATTTTCCTTTCCATAAGACCAATTCTTCCCAACTATAATCATACTCTCATTTTTAAATAACCATATCATAGTCCCATTTTCGACTGGGTAAGTGCATCCAAAAGACTGGCCCACTCAGGCATCCACCCGTACACCACTCAAATGGAACAAAAAATAATGAATCCAAGATTGAAGGTGACAAACTCCACAACATTTTTAATAAAAAAATTACATGGAAATGATGAAGGCTTACCATATTTCTCAATGCTGTCAAAAAGTTTCACTATATCATTCTTTACAGTACCAATCTACAAAAAGAGAGAGAGAGAGAGATACAAACATGAGATTGGTAGGCTAACTACAATTTTGAAACTGACAATAAGCAGTGGAATTAGAACGAGAACATGATAAATCAAAAGAAGTTCATAGCGATAACAGCCAAAAAGGAGTGTGAGAACATGTTGGTGACTAAAACTTCATATTAGAAAGAAACTAGTTGCTGCAAATGTTTTCAAAATCACCCGGATAGGTTACATAGATGAAGTGAGGACTTGGTCTAACTACAAAATTAAGACCAGCAAAAGTGATACTGAGGATCCTGCATCTTCTCAATCGCTGGCAGTCGAGAAGTTGCAAAATGATTCCCAAGGGGCTGACAATTAAATTTTATAAGAAAATTGGTAGTTAACGTGGTAATCAACAACTACCCAGCCACATTTTTTTATTCTAAGAAACAATCTCATTGGCAAAAAGACAAGGGGGAGAGAAAAACTCTAGCCCAAAATAAATTGTAATTACACAAAGGTCTAAGCTTGCACCAATAAACAGCAACAAAAAGAAAAAGAAACAAAATAAAAATCTTAACCTATAAACTGAAGGGAGAGGGGAAAACAATTATAAAATATAAATACGGTACCCTTCTCCTAGTCTAATAAAGTAAGTAATGGTATTCTCAATTTTTCTTTGAAGCCTACAGAGGAGATTCTTCGGGTCAATTTGGGCATGAGGAAGGATAAAGACCTTTTAGATGAAGATAAATGATAGTTATTTCTCTACAATGCTTATTAAACAAATGTCAGTTATATGATTATTAGACCTTTAAAGAACTAGATATATGAAATAGCTAAGCATTTCCAAATGGATCAATATCAAATTGAGGTCTAGGTTTAATAATGCCTGCACAATAGCCACTCTAAAAAAAAGAATGAGATAAGTTTTACACAAGAAAGAAACGTACATTTTAGGAACTCAACAAAAATATGAGAAAAAGATTAGAATACCATATTTTGATCAATATCAGACGATGCTAATGATACAACACCAGCAAGGGCTTCCAGTGCCAATCCTATAGAGAATAGAAGCTATATAATGTAAGATGCAAATCAAAGTTTAAGCCATATAAACGGAGAAACAAAATATTCAAAGAAGTCAATTGAAACTACCAAGCGATTGAAGAATGTTAACTTATCACCTAAAGAATGATAACTTATCATGATATAAAAATGATGTGCAATTCTTCATAATCTAAGTTCCTTAAAATAAAGGTAATTTTCACAAATTTTACGTAGTGTTGTTATTAAATCCTTTTAAAATTTCTAGCAAGAAACAAGAAATTCCATTGAGAGAGAAAAAATCCAAATTTCCATATAGGTTCCAAAATTGGATATAACATACAACTTTAAAACATTAACCTATATAAAAAGCCAAGGATACATGCATACCTCCCAAAAAAAAAAAAAAACTCAAGGGTAATCAACAAACACACCTCCCACTTGTAAAAAATTAAGAAAAGAGAAATATTTGTTGTTACTAAATTCATTTATGTTGAAGCTTATAATGATGTTTAAGAATAAACTTCAAAGGACAGAGTCATTACTCAATGCATTCCTCGTTGCTGAAACTTATTTATACTATAATTCATATGGGATTTCCATCACGACTCCAATCATGCATTGAAGTACATGATTGTTTCTAGAATGGCTACTTCTTAAAAGCTCCTTCGAAGTTAGAATCGCAACTAAGATGAAAATCACATTTATTAAATATAATGTTTATCGTTTTTAATTTGCTTTAACACAAATGTGTATTGTTCTGTTATTCTTGAACAAACGGTAATGCTAATATATATGATGAGAACCAGGGAAAGAGCGACTTTATCACTATTTAAACAATAATGTCAAAATAAAACATTAAAGCCAAAAATATGTGAAGAATTATGGATGAATTAGTACCAGCAGCATAAATACTAGACTCAGAGTTGTCAGAACTATAGCGCCACCTTCCATCACTTTGGCTCAGTGCCTGCAAATTAGCACGAAGTAGACCAAGATTAAATAATACGGATGGATATTTATCACTAAGCACTATTCATTTTAATTTGTTAATTGAGAAAAACGTGACCAAGTAAAATATCAACATATGATTTCTCAATGATATTCGCATTTAATGTTTAGCAATCTAACCTACAGAGCTTGATGCAGTTTTAGTTGACAAGTAAGCCCCAACTGGAAACTAGGTTCTAGGACTTCTCTATTCCTAGTCTATATATAGATATATAGATAGATACATATAGATATATATATTCTTTTTCTTTTTTTTCAAATACTGAATAAACTAACCTTGATTGAATGGAAAACACCATCAGCGTCATTAATGGATAGATCAACTCCAGAACTTTGTTCCTGCAAGTAATGGAAGGAGCTTGTTAAATCCAAAAGATGAAATTGGATTTTAGGATATATTCCTTTAAGAATTTTTTAGTCTCCTTGTCACGTCATTCACCAGATAAATAAGGACTGAGAAAAGATATATTTGTAAAGCAGTTTATATTTGAATCTTAAATCAGCATAAATTAAATAAGAAATAAAATACATTGTCATTTGCATGGCGTAGGTTGAGTCTGGATTGTGCATAGAATTTTACCTTTAGAAGTAATAAGCTTCCAATAGAATAGTAGAAGTCAAGCAGCGACCGCGCATCATTCAGAACAGATTTAAGCCTTGAAGTAATGCTCTTCACAAAATGAAAAGAAATGAAATGATCACAAGTCATGAACATGCATCAGAAACTATCACATAGGAGTTGTTTGGAAGTAATGTGTAGAAATAGAACGAAACCATAAATAATTTCTGGATGTAAATTAGTATTTGACAGGAGGGTTTTTACAACAAAAAGGAGTAGAAAACAGTAGGAGACTTTGTAGTTTTCATGTGTTTTCTTTAGTCTTTTACTAAGTTAACTTTTCACATCTATCCATCCAATGTCAAAGTAATATTTGATTTCAATCTAATATATTCAAAAATTAATATATTAAAGAAACAAACCAAAACGCAAGAATAAAAAATCAACTGGCCCCAACCATTCCATGTCCAACTCCAGTGAAAAGAAAAGAAGAAAGAAAGTTGAGCTTTCCAAAGGTAAATGCTTTCCACCTCTCAAGGAAAAAGAATCTTCTTCTCCGACAATGAGGACTTCTTTTACTTCCATACTTCATCAGCTTCAGGCAATAGTGGACAAGGTACAGTTGACGACTCTTCTACCTTGGAACTTGGTCCTCATGAGGCAAAAGCTCTTCAAGATATGAGTCCAACAAACTATTATGTGATCAGTCTATGAGCCCCAAGTGGGGATTACTTTTATTTTACATAGATCCTTTCCACGAATGATTGAGGCTTGTGCACAGCTAGTAAAAGGCACCTGATCAAAGAAGTTCTTCTTGGTTGTAAGCCCAACATTCTCTTTGAGGAAACAAAACGCAAGCAGGTTAGTGTTCAGTGAAATCACTTTGGAGTTCTTGCTGGGTAGGCTTGTCTGCCCTGGACTCAATACTGGCTTCAGGGGGCATTCTTTGTTAATTGGATGAAAACTTCATTTCCATATTGATAGCATGCGGGAGCTTTCTCCCTCTCTATTAATTTCAAGCTTGTACATGGTTTCTCCCACTGGATCACAATATTTTATGACCCTTCTTTCTGTGGGGATCAAGCTCACTTATTCTTCTCCTGGCCTTTTTGGGGGGGTGCTTTTTCTCGATCTTCCATGTGATGTGGTGCTTCCCTAGTAGGCCTTGATACTCTTCTTAAACTTCTTGTCAGTCCAGTCTTTTAAGGCCATGCTAGAACTCCATAGTCTAATAAAATGGCAGCCTTTCTTCGGAGGCTTTGATTTGTGAGAAACAAACAAGTGTTTCAAGGGGATGAGGCTTGTTTTGAAGCTTTTGGGGATTTGGTTAACCTGTTTACGTCCACTTAGCAGTCTTTGCTAAAAAATTATAACTATAATATGATGCATATTTACGCCAATTGGAAGTCTTTTTCTGTAATCCCCTTGGCTTAGTGGAGATTTCTCATCCTCCTTTTGTATGTCTTTTGTCGATAATACAAGTCTTGTTTCTTATCCAAAAATTCTTTTAAACTAAAAAACAATAGAACATTTTTAAAAATAAAATTGCAAACTGGTATCTTTTTTTAAAATCACAAACAAGCTCTTAGAAACTGAGCACGAAGGATATAAGGATACCTCATATATCTCCTCCTTGATTTCACATTTCAAAACATCATTAACTCTCAGAGCATGGAATAGATCCTTTAATACAGCAGATGAACCAAGAACCTCTAATACTGACTTGCAAGTAGCAGCACTTATATCAGGCTTCTCTTGAATTCCAAGAATGTTGAATGTTCTTAGTGCTTCATATGTTTCTTCCAAACTGATAGACAAAAAAAAAAAAAAAAAAAAT